GTTTCATGCAGACACCTCAGCTTGGGAGAGTGGTGGGATTTCAGAAACACCCCTCTCCATGTCTCCTACTGGCTGGATGAGGCATCTTCCTGCTCAGCATACTGAATGTTGTATCCCCCATTCTTAGGTACCTCATCTTCTCCATTTACAATATAGGGAACTTTGGTGCCAAAATCTGGTTTGCGAATTTTACTGTTCAGCAGGACAATAAAAGTTCCGCAGAGAAACATTCAGTGTTCCATACTTGAAGCCAGACTGAAAAGGGACAATGTGATTAAACGAATTACAATCAACCCCCAAATTAAGGGGCTGGATTTTCCCTGCAGTAAAAGTGAATCACTATTCCCACTCCCAAATTTTAGTGCTCTTTAAACTTTCCTGGGGTGGTGGCTCTTTTCTGCCACTACAATAGTTTTGGATGTTGTGTTTCCTTGCAGGGTGATAGAAATCTACATATTGTTCAGTTCATAAGTTTAGTTCATAAAGATCATATTCACTTACATTTGAAAAGTACAAAATTAAGATGAAAGTATGCTTAATAAGTATTTAATTTATGATTAATTAGTAAATCTTTTCCTCTGTACAAGAAAATATAGTTCTTTTATGCAGTGAATAAATCAATGAGTGTTCTTTAGTTTTGAATTACCAAGCATAGTTGATAGCATTTTCATTAGATTAAGAGAAACACATTTAATCATCTAAAAATTCATACCATGAAATTTGTTATGTGGGATAAACAACTTAGCATGGCAGTCACTTTGGGATGCCAAATGTTTGCTCATGTGGACAATTACTTATGGCTGCCTAAAATTACGGATGATATTCTGCATAAATATTGCTCTAGATAAAATTATCAGTTTTCTATACCATGCCTAATTTTATTAAGCAAAAGCAAAAAATGTAAAAGAAAAAAGGAAACAAAAAGTAACCATTTAAAAAAGCTGGCAATCTTTCCACAAATATTCTAGAGAAAGAGAACCCAACACTTAAAATATTTTACAGGGAGCTGTTATATATTTGTATAGAGCATGTTGACTGAAGGAAGGTGATTTTCTTACCTCATAAGTTATTAGTACTGATATTTGTTTTTCTTCAAGGGTTGCATCAACTAGTAGTATTATTTGTCAATCGTTCCCAGGAGACATATCATAGGGACACTTTCTACCCGAATTTTCTGATACTGTTTTAAGGATATTCTTTCTAGTAAATATGTCTATATACCTTACCAAAAATATATTTGCTATATTTTTTGCTGCTTTTACTACCAAATGCTTTGCTGTCTGTATAACATTATGTCTAAGAGCATTATGCACGACCCACCCACTGTGTGGTCCATTTACCACCTCAGCAGTCCACTTACTACCTATGATGATGGAAATCCTAAATTCTATTCTTAATGATGGCTTGGTTTCATTTATATCCTTGTTGCTATAAATAAACACTTTCTTCTAGATCCTAAATGGAATATAACTAAGAGCACCCCATAAGATGAGCAGTGCATGAATGATACAGTAGATCATCAAAAGAACAGTGAAACTGACTGTACATGGTGTGATGCCAAATGAAGATGAGAAATAAACTGTGAAAAATATGTGCACGCATACACACAGCTCTTCCACAGCCCCATTCTCTTCTGGTTACAGTTATCTTAGCAGTTACTTAATGCTTGTGTCTCTGGACAGGGGCAATAAAAAAGTGCTAGAGGATTCCTGAAATCAAATTAGTCTGCAAAACAACAGCTCAATGCATCCTACAGAGCAAGTTTGAAAGGTTGGCAATTTCCAAACACCAATATTTCTGTAGATATAGAAAATGGACTGAATATAAACTAAAGGAATTACAAATACACCTCTGGGGCATGGGAAACTTACTGAATAAAGTGAAGATAACAGGAACTAACTAGACAGATCAACCTTCTATTCTGTGGCAACAACGTGCTCTGAATATATTCTACAAACTGATATCGGAAAAACCCACTGAAAAATGAGGGATATTATTTTTAGATGGTTTCATGACACAAAAGTTTACAATATGTAGTTCCTACCAGGAAAAAAAAAGTAAGCATCCTCCCAATATAAAATAGTAGCCAAATTACTTTTTATGCATTTATCTTAAACAAAGCAATATTAAAATAATGCACCTTTATTTGACAGAGTGGTGATATGTCAAAATTGAGATCTCTGCAGAGCTAAAAAATACAGGTGGAAAAGTAAAATGATCAAGAAGATTTTTGTGACTTTTAAGATTCTTTATATCCTGGCTTATTAAAAAAATGGTTTTGATAGTCTGTTTTAGCTCAATATTTAGGAGGTCATAAAGTTGTTGTTATCCCACTAGAATGGATTTTTGCCAGAACTACTCCTCTGATATTTAAAAACAGATGTGACTCTGTATATACAGTTAATAGGAAATATAAGACAGATAAGTGCCAAATAAAAAAGTAACAAATCAAGAAAATGAAATCTGTTTTGCAACATTTAATTCCCCAAACTTATTATTCTTTATTATAACGGAATGGAAAAATACACCTGCAGATGCAAAAAAACAGTTTAACTACAGAAAGAGGTTTAGTTTTAATTTGTCAGTTTGTTATCTAATGCTGGCTAATTAACTTTGCTATTTTGAAAACAACCCAAAATTGTGCGTCTATCTAAAGCTTCAGGGGGTACTTTTAGTGTCTAAATTTAGTGTTTAAAACATGACAAATACATATCAAAATTGGTAGTGAATGTAGAAGTGGATGGCATCTTGGGCAGCAGTGACCACAAACTGATTGAATCAAGATCCTGAGGTAAGGAAGGAAGGGGACCCTGGACTTCAGAAAAGCAGATTTTGAGTCAGGGAACTGATGTGCAGCATCCCCTGGGAAGCCAGCCTGTGGGGGAAAGGAGTCCAGGATTGCTGGTTGTATTTTAAAGAAACCTTACTGAGGGCACAGGAATGGACCACTCTGATGCGCAGAACGACTAGCAAGTATGGCAGAAGACCAGCTTGGCTGAGCAGAGAACTCTAATCCCTAATACCAGCCCACATATAGAGTATGACACTTTACTGCAAAGCTAGTCAACTGTGCAGTAAAATGCACACGTAGATGCACCCACTGGGGGTTAGCAGTGCCAGCATGGAACGTGGGATCCACATTCTTGTTGTTTTTGTTTATCTTTATCCTGCTCTCTGCAAATTCATTCAAAGCATCTGATGAAGCAGGCTGTACCTACTCTAAATCAGTTATCTTACTATACGGTGAGAGAGGTAGTCAGCCATGTTAGTCTGAAGTCAGATAGAAGGCAGAGTAGATTTGCATTTGATAGACTAAACCAGAGACATTTATAGCATAAACTTTTGTGACTCTATCATCCAATGAAGTAAGCTTGGGCCCACAAAAGCTTATGCTGTATCATCGGTGTTAAACTTATCTGGTCCTGTGGGTCATATGAGTAGTTTAGAACTGGTCCACATGCTGGATGAATGCAACAGGTAGGGCCATCTGGGGGGCGGGGGGCAAATCGGGGTGACCGCCCTGGGCCCCATGCTTTGGGAGGCCCCACAGAGCCGGGTGGAGCAGCGGCAGTGCGGAGCTGGGTGGAGCGGTGGCTCTGCGTCCAGCCACTTGCAACCCTCCTGTCCCCACCCCTGCTGCCGACAGCGGCAGCTTCTTCAAGTCTGGGATTGGAGGGGAGGGGGGGCAGGCGGGCCGCATGGGCTGATTTTTCCCGGGAACTGCACCCTGCTTGGGTCGCCTCTGGGCACAGGGCTAGCCTTGAGGTCTGGATCAGGCCCACAGATCCCCTCCCATGCTGGATCCACTGCATGTGGTCCTAATTCTGACAAGTCCCCAGAACTGGTGAGAAGAGGCCTGGCATCCTGCTGTCACCATAGAAACAAGCCACAATCCCAATCTTTTTCCTGAGTTGCTGCTGGGGCTCCAACACCACTCTTGCTCAGGTGCTTGACAGCCAAGCTGGTGACAGGCATGGCACAGGAGTCGCAGCAGCCCTGCATCTTCTTCCTGCAGCAGCAGCCAAGTGCCTGGGTGAGAGCTGTGGTGCTGGAGCCCAAAGTACCATGGATAGATGCCCAGTGCTGCAGGTGCTTGACTGCTACTGCAGGAACAAGTCTCGGTGCTGCTGAGGCTCCAGTGGTGTGTATCTCAGTCAGACACTAGGCTACCACCACAGGAAGGTCAGACTTGGGGCAAAAGTCTGTGGACTGGATAATCTAGATCGGTGGGCTGTATCTGGTCCATAGGCCGTATGTTTGGCACCCCTGTGCTACATAGATCTCTGATTTAGTTAGTTTATAAAGTGAAAATCTATTCTGCCTTTCATGTATAAGGTGCCACCCTGTCCTGCCTTGTGTCTAATTTCAGACTAACACTACTAACTACATCTCTGTTTTCTTCTACTATTTAACATGAAAGGCTGGTTTACAAATATTTGTATGTAGACCTTCTGTCTAATTAACTTCTGTGGGATAAATGTCATAACATCACTTCTTAATAGCTTAAGAGATAAGCTGCTATTTATGAAGTCCAAAGGACATATTCCTTTCTCTGCCCTGCAGGTACAGAACTAGATCTGGAGCAGGGATCTAGTTGCCCATAAAACAGCCACATAAGGTAGCTTCTCAACCTTTCTTCTTTCTAGGCTACAGTTTTTATATCTTCCATACAAGGGTTCTTGCCATACATTACATTATAAACTTCCCAATATTTTTCTTCAGCTTTGCAGCTCTCTATCAGGATGTATCAACCTACTATATAGCTGCTCTGAAGTTTAAATACCATCCCAAAGTAGATGGTACCTAGACAGCCAGGTAGCTGGGACTTGTACTGGATCTAACTATGGTATTTTCCAGCTATTGAAATCAATTGAATATTTTTGCTAAAGTATTTTAACATGAAAAATTAATCAGTAACATTTATGTCAACATTAAATTATTTTAAAGTGATCAATTGCCATAATGTTTTATATACAAAGAATCTTTATAATGCAACTTACAGAAAAAACAGCAGCCAAGGTTTCAGTAGCACCAGTGCTCAAGGTAACATAGGGGATGGTATCATGGTTGATCCCAGATGCGCTAAAGATGCTGTTTGTGTAGTACCAGATCTGTATCAATGTGAAGTAACACTTCATTAGTTGCAATGATTTGATATAGAGGTCTTCAACATATAATTCAAACATATGACTGAAGGACTAGAATCTTACATATGGAGATTCAATAATATTTGAGGGTCCACTCATTTAAGTAGCTGAGTGCCGACATCTATATCTTGTCTATATGGTGACATATTTGGGAAAGTTAATATGAATGAAAAGTGTGAATTTCAAACTGGTGGCATCTATGGACAGTCCATGATCCCTGCTGGCCACCACTGCCAGCGGGATCTGCAGGTGGTTGCCAACCCTGGGTCAGCACATGCCAACACCGGATCAGCACATGCCAACACCATGCCAACAGCACCAGCGGAATCTGAGGGAGCTCCCCCGCTTACCACTGCCGCAATCCCGCCACCGCCAGTGCCGCCGTGCCCCCAACTGCCGACGGCACACATCGTTCATGATTACAATAATTCAACCACAGAAATATTTTTAAATCCCAATTTAAAACCTATTTTATGTAAACAAATTTTGCATACTTGGCAGAATTTAATGAGGAAATACAAAATAAAAAATGAGTTTTAAAGCACCCAATTTTAATGACTTAAAATTCTGCCTAATATTAAAAAAAAAGTATACCCTATATCAGAAGGTTTGATTCCTTTGAGCTGGTCAGTTTCAGTTATATATTTTTCTCCTTTTCTCCCTGAAACAAGTATATCTATGGGTTTCTTTATGCAGTTTCTGTATATAACTTGAACAGTCTCTTTCTTTCTGTAGGTGTCATTTTATTTCACTTATACCTTTAGCGGATAAATTGTAAGAAAGAATGGATGACAAGATAATTTCACTTCTTTTCTTAACAAAGTATCCACAACAGAATAAAATAGCCTGTCATTAGCACTGAAATCTTGTAATTTAAAGAAAACAACATCTGTTTGCTCAGTCTTTTATACTTTCACAAAAATGTGAAGCAAATCTTTTAGGCTTCTTCCTACCATTTGTTGAAGAGCTCTTCTGTCACCCAGGGCCCTTATACATATGATGTAGCTTTAGTCCTTAGGGTTGCATTCTATGCCACCTCAATTGAAATGGTGAGCTTTTAATTGAAACAGTGGGTATTTTTTCATCACTGTATATACGTTATTGACCTGGTGGCCACAGGCGCCTGCTTGAAGGCAGAAATGGCGAGGGGCCGGATCCTTTTTTTTTTTTTGAAGGAGCCTGCACACCTCTCCCACGGCTGGGGTCCATTCATCTGTCAGCTTAACCTCTCACTCCCCAGCCATGGGAAATGTGGGTAAGCTTGCAGAAAAAAATGAATCGGGTCCCTTGCCACTTCTGTCTTCAGCAGGTTCCCGTGGCTGGCAGGACACCTGGGGCCGCCTGGGAAGGGGCTGACTTGCCCCTGGGGCAGCGTGGGAAGGTGGCAGGAAGGCGGCTGGGTGTGCTGGTAGCTGGAGAAGGTGGTGTGGACAGTGCACAGGGCACTGGAAGCACGGGTGCACTCAAGAAAGCTAGTAGCCCACCTGGGCAGCCCCATGCCCCATCCGCACCTTCTTCTCCAGCCTCCAGCACACCCACCTGTCCTTCTGCTGTTTCCCTGCACTGCCCCAGGGGCAAGCCAGGTCATTCCCAGGTGGTCCCAGGTGTCCTGCCAGCCACAGGAGCCTGCTGAAGGCAGAAATGGTGAGGGGCCCTCTCCTGCAGCCAGGGGGCAAGCTGACTAATGGCTGCAATTTTCCAAGCTGCAATGTTGCAAACTAAACTACACTGGGATGTAGCTTAATTTGCAACAATGCAAACTCATTTAAAATGCCCCAAACTTGCGTACATGTAATGTGTAATGTCATTAAGCCACACAAAGGGATATTGTCACATGCACATCATGACATCGTCATGTGCACAAACACTCCCAAATTCTATTTCCAGCACTGTCATTAAGCCTCCGTCGCCTCTGTATTATTTTGGACAAGTTACTTCAGGTAAAATTTTCATCTAAGTCACTTAAGGACCTAAGTCATTTTTGAAAATAGTACTATGGTACCCAAAAGCCACAAAGGAGTTATGCTCCTAAATGCCTATGTCACTCTTTAAAATATTACGTCTTGTGTACTTGTGTTTCCTCTTCCACCTTTGTTAGATTAACTCTTTCAGGAGGGGGTTATTGTGTACTGTAGAAGCATACACTTGAAACTATCCAAATAACATGTCCAAAGTGACCTGTTACCATAACTTTTACTATTATTTATAACTATTTGCAAGTCAAGACAGAACAACTCAAGGAGTAACTGTTAGGATCATGTCTGGTAAACAAGAAGCACTTAAGGCTAGAAATTAATTGGCCAAAATGGATATATTGTAAATTAGGCCTACTTGGTAGAAAAAAATGTGAGAACAAATTAAGGTATTCTTTAGTCTCTTTTGGAGGGGTTCATAATTTTACACACACCAGGAAGCTAGTAAAAGAGGAACCAGTAAAAGAGGCTAGTAAAAGAGGCACCAGAATGGATCATGAGGTATGAGAGTCATGTTGGTAAAGCTTGCTAAGCTTTACCAACATGACTCTCATACCTCATGATCCATTCTGGTGCCTCTGGGCCTTTATCATGGATCAGGCTGATAATCTGACCAGACTGTACGCTGGGGTAGACCTAGATCAGCGGTTCTGAACCTTTTTCAGTCAACGTAGCCCTTGGTCTCAGAGTGATACTTCACGTACCCCCTTTCAATGGGAAATTATTTTTTTAGGCCCTTTGACCTATGTTAGATAATGTACGAAATACATCTCATGAACCCCCTGATGAGGCTTCACGTAGCCCCTGGGGGCACATATACCCCCGGTTCAGAACCGCTGACCTAGATTATAACAGTCCCTCCACTGACTTCAGGAAAGCTTTGAACCAGGTATATCATAAAAGGTGTGTCCTTCAGTCATCTCCTCCCGCATTTTCATTTCCTTACCACCTTAGTTCTTCCTTCTGTGTCTCTGTTTTGCCTTCTGTTTAAATAAAGTATCTGGCTAGCCAGCCAAGATGGTATCTTTTGCAATATGACTCAGAGCCAGAAAAGGCAGCTGAAAACAGTGTAATAATTACCCTACTTAGGGTACAAGTTTGCCAAGTCTCCCAGTGGTTAACAAGACCAAGTGCTCAGCCTGTCTTTGTCTAGCAGCAAGGCTGTAAGAGCCAGCACCGGAAGAAGAAGCTGTACTTTTTGTCTTTGATGTTTTTTCCTTTCTCCTTCTGTGGGTCTGTCCTGTTTTGTCTTCAAGGAAGCTGGATTAGATTTCCTCAACAAGAACAATCACCACACCAGCCCATTTCAACTAACGTCCTTTTCCCCATTGAAAACAGTTATTGCAAAAAGGCTGCCAAATAGGGAATTTTGTTCAAAAAAAATAATAAAAAAATTGAAGTAAAACAAAAGGCTTATTTAATACCGTAAATTTCAAATATTTTAATTATTTTTCTTCTTTGCCTCTATCTTTAATAAAAAACATTTTTGTGGTAGCACAGGCTGAGGTCTCTGTACTCAAAATGCCAAACATGTTTTCCTGTTGTACACAGACAGGATCATGTTCATATCCTTGCCCCCTTCCCCCCAGGATCATTTACTCCATTGAATTTAATGTAACCAGACAGTCTCTAGTATCCAGTGTGGTGGAAGCTTGGTCTCTGTTGGGGCGCTTCAGAACTAGCGCACCAAAATAATTAAAAATTAGGAACAGCAGAAAAATGAAACATTGCAAAGATTGTTAAAATAGGAGGCTGTATAATAAGAATACTGATTAACTCATTAGCAGGCTGTGTATGGAGAAGGTAAACTTACAGCATTAAGCCCACATAGCTGGTAGCAGCCCATGGTGATGACCACAGTAATGATCTGCCAGCGCACAGAGCGGTTTCTCAGAAGCTGCAGGATGGATGCTATCTGAACGTTTCTGTGTATTTGACTTTCCGCTAATACTTCTTCTACCTCATAAGACACATCGGCTTTTCCAAGGAAGGTTCGAAATGCTGCAAATATATAGTCATGTGCATTAGCAATCCATTTAATAGCATATGCAAAACAAAAAAAGCTTTACAGGCAGATATGGCTGTAACAGAGTTTGGCTGTAGACCAGTAATACCCAACCTTTTGGCACCACAGGGCTGACAAATGGTTTGGGGTCAGTCTGTAGGCTGGATTCTCATGGAGTCAGTGTATGAAGTTGGTCTGTGGTGTAATTTAGCACACCAGCCTGCCCCTATATACCAAATCTAACCACATGCTGGCCTGATCCCTCGTGCTGGTTCTGGCCATTTGCTGGCCCAATGCTGCATTCCTGGTCTGGCTGCAAAGTGACCCTGTGTGTTGGCCCAACTGTGCACTGGCACAATCTAGTGCACAGGGTCATGTTATCCAGACCATGGGGCTCCCCACGGGAGCAGGAAAGTGGCAATTATTACTGCCACTACTCCTTCATCACTAAATTTCTGAACCAATGGGGAATGTTGCAGGCTGAATGACATGGCTCAGCAAGCCAGATTGGGCCCATGGACTGGAGGTTGAGCTCTACTGCTGTAGACAATGGATTTTATGGATAAAACTGGTGGTATACAGGTAGCTATAGTGGTTGGTTCCAGTACACTGTGATGGTGCTGTGACCACTGCAAAGTTTCACAGTGGTGTCCAAGAAATGAATAAGCTAGGTGGCATGTTTAAGAGTCAGTTTGTTTATCACTTTTGTTCTCTTCTACCCACCTTCGCATCTCTCAGCAATTCTACCTCATGTGTCAGATGCTCATTTATAGCATCTGACAAACTAGAGTGTAGCCTATGGAAACTCATGCCTCACAACAGCATAAGAGGAAAGGCTAGAAATAAAGGCATAAAAATGAAAAGGTAGAACTTATAAATCCCATTGTTCAGATTATCCTTTTGAATGAGTTGGGCTATAAGGTACCACTCTGTCCTGCCTTCTGCCCTATTTAGTGTTTCATATAAAATCCCCACCAAAATATGCTACACGCAGCTACAATAGTGCAAAAACAGTGGAGGGTGCTAACTGCGTGGGAATGTAACCAGGGCTTCAGAGGTGATTCTAAACTCAACTTGGCAATGCAGACACGGCTTCTGGATTTCTGGCCCAAGCTCAGTTCCCCACCGGCTGGAAGCTGTGCCCGTGCCATTCCACAGAGTGAAGAAAGTGATGGCAGTACAAGTACAGCTCCCAGCTTCCTGGCTTGGGAACACGTGCCTCCTCCTGCCACTGATGTGTTGGCTGAAGCTACTCACCCATGACAGACTAGAGCCAGGTTGTTCCGGCCCATGGCCTGTAAAGATTGCTAGCCACTATCATACAGAATTATCCAAAACAAGCAGTATTTTCCTAATTCTCATGAACAGAGTGCTGGATATCAGATACACACCACTTTCCTTATGTAAGTACAAGTAGAGGATTTATTGCACTACCTTTTCACTGTGAACATGCTCTCACACCATTGCTAGAAGCTGTTAGTCACTTTTCAAAGAACTCATACTTCTAAAATGAACATGGTATAAATTGCTGATATTTTCATTAAAATCTGAAGGACACATCCTGGGGCTTAGCCTCATAACTGGTATTTAAATGTTCAGAATCTTGGAATTATTTCTGCTACAGAGAAACAAATGCATTATGCAAGTTCCTACAACCAGGCACTCGTGTACTCTGTGGGATGCCTGTCTCAGAAACCATTTTTTATTCAGTGGGCCTCTTAAAATTACTCCTTTTCAAGGAAATAATAGTGGTTATTTTTTATAGAGAAGAAAAGTGATAAAACTGCTTTAATTTTACTAAAAAGCCCAGTGTATTTTTGGCTTACCCACAGCTGTGTCCAGTATTATCTAAAAATGTTCAGCATTCACAGCCAATCTTTTATACCACAGATAGTACTCATTGCTTAATGAAGCAATGAAATGGATACTCTCCAATGGCTCTTCAAATGGCATAAATCCATTAAGGCCTGACATTCCTGAACTGTAGCATTATTAGTAAATAAATACACCAAATGGTGGCATAGAGACATGTTAGCACACCAAAGAAAAAAAAGAACTGGGTGAGAAGCAAAAAAGAGTAAAATAATATCAATGATCCAAGATCTATAGTGACTACCAATTACATTATCAGTGGTATTAAAGTTATAAGCCAAACTTTTCAGACCCAACTAGCAATTCATTTTTGCATACCCTAATTGCAAACACTTTTAATAGGCCTGATTTTCAGGGGTGGTTGAAGATAAAGCTATTCAGGTCAGGAACCTTAAGATGGTGGCTCCTGAAATCATTAGTCACTTCTTAAAATTTTGGTCACTTTAGGGTGTGGAGCTGAACTGAAGTACTGTGTTCAGTTTTTGTAGCCACATTTTGAGAAGGATCTGAACTGGAGAAAATACAAAAGAGCAACACAGCTGAAGAGGAGTTTGAAAAGCAAACCATATCAAGCAAGGTTAAAGGAGCTTGAATTGCTTCATCAGGAGAAAAAGCAGATTGAGGGATGACATGATTATAGGTCTAAAATATTGCCATAAAGAGCTCTGGAGCAGATTCTCCCCAGCTGCTTAGGATAGAATGAGAAACAATGGTTTTCAAAGGCAGATTGATATTAAAACCTCACAAAAAGCTTCCTAAATATCAGAGCAGCTAGATAGTAGAACAAACTGCCTTGGGAAATTATAGATTCTCCTTCACTGGAGGATTTTAAGAAAAGGCTGGATAGGCATCTGTCAGGAATGGTTTGATCTATCAAGCAAAACCTGCTTCAGTGCAGGGGAGCTGGACTGGATGACCACTGAGGTCTTTCCAGCCCTATGATTTGAAATCCTTAATTGCTTTGACAACTGGTTTACACAAGAGATAATGTCTTAAAGTGCCATTTGGAAGAAAGGAGGCTGGTTACCAGGCCTTACAAATAGAAGATCATTTACTGGGGAACTCAGCTTTTCCCTTGCCTTAACGCAGACCAGTTTTTTGTTTAAACACACATTTCTACCACAATTCATTCAAGTAAATGATTTCTCAGGGTCCCAGCTAATTTGTGACTGAGGCCAAGCAGGTGAGTTTTTGTCTTGTGTCAACATTTAATTACTATTAATGACATTCTAAATACTTTTCTTTGTAGAACTTGAGGTACATATGTATGACAAATTCTAAAATCTACCATATAAATATAATATGGATAGATTTAGCTACCATTTTTATACTATCTTCTTCATTATTAGGAAGATTAGTTAAGAAGAACAAGTAAAGAAAATAATAATCTATGATACAGCAAAGAGCTTCACTTTTAAAAAGTCCCAATGTTTTAAGCATCTGTTTTATCAGTGTAAATCAGGTCAATGCACAATTTTCTTTATTTTTCCTGTCCTCAGAATGTTCAACATCCCTGCAGGGTGCACAGTCAAAAATTCAGTTGCACTCAAGTGAAAATTAAACAATCAGTCCAACCTACATATGGAGATGTGCCATATTTCTAGGACGAGGTAAAAAATGCCAGTACAAAAATGATAATTACAAAGTAGATAAAAATTATCCATTTTTTTCTTTCCCTCCTGCCATGACAACTAGAGATATAATTGCCAATAGGATAATTTCATAAACACCTGAAGTTTCAACAGATCATTGCATTATAACAAATTGTTTTAATGCACAGTTCATAGCTAGCCACACTAAATGTTTTGGAAAGCATAAAATAATTTTCTTGGTACTCAACGCTTATCCTTGCATTTCCAATTTCCTTCTCTTTCTATATCATAAGAAATATAATTTTACATATCAGCATGACTTGTTAGGGTTTCTCAAGTTCGGTTCAATAAGGACGAGACAGGAGGACTCTTCCAGGAGCTGTGGTAGGAAGCTCTGATACTTACATTATTTAAACTCAGCAAGGTAGGCAATAGATCCTGAACTAGCAGAGAGAGTGTACTACCCAACTAATTATGTATGTTAAAAAGTTTAAAGTTAATAAAGTTTATTAACTTTATTTTTTAATTTGTGCTGTTGGCACAAGTGCAGCAATATTTTTTGTTCTCAAAGGCAGGATAAGTCATTTGACTCTTACCCTTTACTGGAACAGTTACTTTTCCATCTGTGACTGGTCAGGTCTCTATGAAACATTTTATTTACAGGTCAGTTTCCTGTTGGGGATAATGGCTGAAAAGGGAGTCTCCCATCTCTTATTTAGTTTCTCTGGGTCTCTTACCTCTCTTTGATAATAATTTGCCAGAGATGCTTCTCACAAAATGCTGATATGTCACTCATTCAGAAGACATGGAAAGCTCTAATGATTAGGTGACAGCATATGGAAACTTTTTCCATATCAAAAACTTTTTTTCTTCACTGAATTAAATTCATTAGAATCAGCTGTCTAGAATTTAAAATTTTTGATATAGCATCAGTGGCCTGTGTGCAATGAACCAGAACCCCAAATCAAGTTCTTAAAAACATACCCCATTGAGGCAGTTCAGATTGGGCACTCAGAAACAGATAACCAAAATTGCTAAATAGTTTTGAAAACCTTGGCTGTAAACATTTCCCCGGTTATGGAGAAGAGAGCCATTACTTTAGAGAAGGAGAATGCTGTTGTGCAGCACAGCAGATGGGAGACAGTGCAGAGAGTTTTGAGGGAGAAACAAAAGGAACATAATAAGAAATGGGAAACAGAGGTAACAGTACAGATGATACAAGCTCAGATCTTCAAATGATAATGAGTGCCCAAGTGTTTATTATTGTCTGACTAGTTTTATTTCGTTGGTATTTGTGAAACTAGCCAATTGCCCGTCAAGAAAGATGGGGGGCGGCGGGGTGGGCAGGGACAAAGGCCTGTGTCTGGCCCTCTCTCCCCTGCTCAACTTCAGGGCTGTGCCCACGCCCCCACCCCCGCCATTGCAGGGCAGGGCCAGGCCCAGCGGCCCCCTCCCACTTGTTGCCATTTTGACAGGGCCCGGGCCCGCCCCCGCACCATTGTGGGGCTGGGCCCTGCGTTTCCCCCCCCACC